CATGCCCAGGCTGGGCAGGTAGCAAAGGCACACAGCGTATCGCCAGCAGCTCAAGTGAAAAGAGGTGGGATGCCAACATGCAGCTTGGGCAGTGGGGGTCTGTGCTCCATAAGTGTCTGCCAAATGCTGGTACATAGAAGAGCAGCTTCTGCCCGCTCTGCCTCGAACGCTTTGGGATGTCATTGGGACTGCAGCAGCATCTCTCCAGGCTCTGACCTGTACTGGTGGGGATGCAGGTGGCATTGCATTGCGCTGCACATTCCTAGATGTGTTGTAACCTTGCATGCTTCTGCTTGTTAGTTGTACCAAGATAACTTGGTTACAAATATGGTGTGGGAGGAAATCTCTTTGTTTTGAAGCCAGTAAATGATTTTTAGAAACATTTACATACTGCAAATGTAGTCTTCTGCCTGTGAAACTGATGTTTAAGGCCTTAGAGGTTTTGCCAAGTTGGCTCGTCTGGGATAGCAGATGTTTCTGCTTTTCCTCTCGCCCCAAGCTATAGCAGCATTGCTGGCAGCTCTGAGCTGGAACTTGTCTGTTGTGCCGAGGTAAGGAAACCCCCTCGCACAGCATGTGTTATCCTCACCCACTGCCTCAAGTGTGGGCCACAGGGCTGTGCATGTCCTGCATGGGGTGGACACTTTGCTCCACGGAGTACCACCATGCCCTTCCCAGGCAGCATCTGCCTGCATCCTCAGTGCCACCTTCTGTGCTTTCCCAATGGTGGCAACTCTGCCACTCACCTTGTACCTTGTAAAACAAACGGTGGATCAGAACAGGCTCCTGGGTTTTGAGAAGGTAGCAGCAGGAAAACGCTTCTTCCACATTGTTTTATAGAGTCTGTGCAACATCCTCTGCCCTAGCCATCTATACTATTGGCATGAAGGAAAATTTGCAATTCCAGGTCGCGCTTTGCCCCAACCTGCTGAGAGGTGTTTGGGGATTATCTATGCCTTTCCCTTCCATATAAGAAACTCCTAGCAGGTGGCTGCCACTGCACGGTGTAGGTGGGTGCAGAGAGATGCTGCTCCCACGGGCTCTGTGATGCAGCGTGGGGAGGGCAGGTTCCTTTCTTGTGGTATCCTCAAAAAAAAGAAGCCAGTTTTTACCTGCACTGCTGGAGTCCAGCATGTGCCATATGAGGGATGTTGAGTCAGAAGTTGGCTTCAGAGGGGTTGCCTGGCTGTTCCAGCTCTGGAAGCCGCAAGTGCAGTGATGCGACAGAGCCTGACCTGAAATGCTAAGAAGGGAAGCCCCTTCATATTCAAAGATCTGGAGCTCTTTCTAGCACTTTTGGGGGACAAAAAAGCCTTTTCTTTTAATGACTTTCCTTGCCTGTTTTTGGAATGATAAGTAAATGTGAGCAAGGAATCTGCTTTTCCATTGCGACCACTATTGCTTGTTGCAGCTGCTCCTCACTTGTGTGTCTCAGCCCAAGTGTTTGCTTGGCAAGAGGCATGTAGCTGGTAGGGAGACAGGGGAGATAGGTCAATGTGAACTTACGTCTCTAGTTAAAGGCACAGGGGCTAGGATGGGGCCCTGTTTCTGGTTCTCCAGTTGCCCTGCTGACTGGCCTTGGATAAATTGCTCTTGGTCTCCCTTGGCTCTAGCATCCCGGGCCATCGTGGAGGATATGCTGTCCTGTTGCACCAAGTGCTCTGAGCATAAGTGCTGGATGGTGGCTTTAAGTGGTGGAGTTGGGTCTGGTGCTACTGGAAATACTCTTGATTTGGTAAATAACATCTTTGAATATCTGCATCTATGAGATGGCAGTGGGGAGGAGAGGGTTTTGCATGGGTCCGAAGAGGAAGACTTGACTGGATAATTCGGGGAGCAGGAGAGTGTGGGTGCTAAACAGGCACAAATGATGAGGTGGTAGCAACCCTTCTTCTTCCCTTTGGGGACACCAGTGGTGTGCTGTTAATAGGAGGTGTGTGATTTTGGTAATGTGGAGAGCTGCTGAAGTGGCCTATTGAAGTGCTGCATATCTGGGAAATGCTGGATGCATTTTTATATGTTTAAAGTGCTTACATGTTTTTAATCAATGCAATCTAAGTCGTCAAACCTGATACTTACTTGGAGTGAGTGGCTATTCTGTGAGGAGCTATTTTTGTTTTGTTGCCCTGTGTGTAGCGTTGCCTCCAAGACATCGCTGTTGCCGTTTACTTTCTGGGAACGGTATGTCTCAAACAATGTATTGTCTCCCTAGGGCCCCAATAAATTTATTTCTATCTCCAGGAAAACAGAAGTGTATTAGCTCCAAAATACAAACCAGAATGTAGCAGTATTTTTCCACCAGGAAAATTTTTCTCTCTTACCAATGTGGCTTTTTTATGGAGTGAATAAATGCATTTATAATAACCCTGCGGGTGTGATTTAGGTTACTGTTCACTGAAGCGACTACCCACAGAGTTGCGTAACCTATGAGAAGATGGATTAGAATAACTTGGTTTAGTTCATATCAGCCATTTCTCTCTGTCCTCTTGATGCCCCTGGCAGAGTGGGTTTCATTTAGCAACTCAGTTCCTGGAGGGGGGAGCTTTGATTTCATCCCAAGCTATTTAGCAAAGGTGTGGTGCGAGGTTGTATAAAATCTGGAAAGGTAACCTGTGGGTCTTATATTTTTTTCCATTTTTGAGCCCTTCTGCAGCAGAGGTGCCCACCAACAGCAGTTAGTGCCTTTTCTTACTTGCATTTGTGTGTTAAAGGTGTTATGGAGGGTGTCCCACTTCTGATGACTTCCCAGTGCTCTCTTTGAGCCCTTTGTGTTCCCTTGCCCTTCCTGGGATTACCAGAGACCCACCACAGGTGATGCCGTGCCTCTGGCTTTCTCGGCATCCCATTAACCTCCCTCCACCGTTGACCCCCTTGATTTTTGTTGGTAAACTCCCAGACCCCATCAGCCTGGGTGACTCTGAGCAAGGGCTGGCACTGCAATGCAGCTGCTGGTGCTTGCTTCTGTTCCTCACGCTGCCTTTGCTCTGCTCTAGTGTCCAGAACCAGGTGGATGAAGTCATCGACGTTATGCAGGAGAACATCACGAAGGTGATTGAAAGAGGCGAGCGGCTGGATGACCTGCAGGATAAATCAGGTGCAATGCTAAATGCAGCTCTGCTGGCCTGTTCCCCACATCTCTTCCCCGTTGCTGGGCCAGGTTACCTGGTTTCTGTTCAAAAAGCACCTAAAGACGGACCTGGGCTTGTATTTCTATCCTTCCTCGGAGTGGTGTTTCCCAGCCTTGGGCTGTAGATCTGACTTTCTGCCGACATTCTCCTTTTTCCACCTTTGCCTTGTGCCACTCTGCATAGAGATGTCAGTTTGGAGGCGCTTGGGTGCTGTGATCAATTGGTCTATCAAGCAAAGGTAGATTGGTCTGTCTCCCAACTGCCCTGAGCACTTCAGCTGTCTGCTTACTTGCTGGCTTGCAGAGCAAATTCCTGTCCTCAGAGGGCAGCTAGTACAAAGGGGGCTCAGTGGGACTCGGTAGGTCTGTGTGTGCCCAAGCGAAGGGCGTCACACTGGCATCTGCTGTGGCTTTGGTGAATCACGCTGTGGTTGGGTCTTTTCCCCTAATGCTGAGTTTATTGCTTAAAACGCAGTAAAGTTAGTAGAACGAATGGATGCTCTGACTGTGTGTGCGCTGCTAAATAACCTCTTTTTCTTTCCTTCAACAGAAAGTTTATCAGACAATGCAACAGCTTTTAGCAACAGAGCCAAGCAGCTTCGGAGACAGATGTGGTGGCGGGGCTGCAAGGTGAGCAAGAACAGGAACAGGTGGGGTGGGTTTGTGGAAGGGTTGTTACCTGCCCTCCTCTGGGAGGAGATGGAGAAGCTCTGTTTTCTGACTGAAAAGATGCTGTAAGGCAAAGGCCTCCTTACAGGTAGAAACAGCTACACGTGGCACTCCGTGTAACATGCCTCTGTGCTCCCCTTGCAGATGAAGGCAATCATAGCACTGGTGGCGGTCATTCTCCTGCTCGTGATCATTGGTGAGTAGCTCCAGGTCACCCCACCCATGTCTGACATGGAAGTAATTTGTGGCACTTCACATTGAGTGATGCTGTGGTGCTGTTTTCCCTGGGGGAGAGCACCTGAGCCTCTCTGTCAGACCCCACTCTGCCTTAAGCTGTCCGAAGTGCTGCCTGTAGCCCACACCATGCTCCTCTTCTGCAAGACTTAAGTGCACGCATAGAGGAGCAGGCTCAAACCAAGTCCTACTGACTGTAGCCAAAGAAAGCCATCATTGCCCCGCCAATGTTGTATTGATACAGGGTTGGTGCCAACTGATCCTGAAGCTGGTGGAAGAGTTTCAGACCAGAGCAATGACTTCCAGAGGCCTCTCCACATATATTAACCATCTTGCAATGGGCCTGCTCCCTGCAAATGCTCCTCTCCAAAGCTGCTGGGCTGCTTAATTTTCAGCAAGTAGCTGTTGTGGCTTTGCCGTTGGTCCCTTCCCCTGCCCTCTGCCTTTCTTCCAGGCAGAAGTAATTCAGCCCTCTGCCTGCAGATTTTTGTGCTCCAGGGATCCAAGCAGCCCAGCACAGCAGACCAGCTCTTCCATACCACTGGGTCCAGAGGGTTTTCCATCCAGTGACCATGGCTGGGGGCAGCTCTGTAACTGTTCTTGTTGGTTTGGCAAAACCCTTGCAGTCTGTTGTCCTGCTGACACACAGCCTGCAGTGGGAGAGGCAGAGCTGGCAGAAGGGTGGGAGCATTGCAGAGAGAGAGACTGATGGAAAATCCCATCTGGTTTAATTTTGGGAAGCTGGAAGGAGATGAAGGTGGCAGGAAATGTTGTCTAGCTTGTGTGCAGGCAGCAGATTGCATTAGCTTGAGCTTGGAAACACACTTTCCCTTGCAGCTGCTTGGTGTTTGTCACCACAGAAACGGGGGGGGATCTCCTGGCAGGGATCAATGTTGCACGCAAAGGTGTGTGGCTGAGCACTTGTTTCTTTGTGTTTTCCAGTACCCATAGTCCTGAAGTACCATACCTGATGGGGCAGCTGGAGGCTTCGGTGGAGCTGACTCTGGGATAACCAAACTGCTGTGTAATTTAAGTGAGATATCTGTGTATATAGCTTCGAAGTTGTTTTTCTCCAAGGAGTGAGGAGGCGGCGGCAAGTAGCCAGTTCTAACAGCGTTTTAAGAACTGCCAAATGACCCTTTCTTTGGTCGAGTACCTGCTCCTGCTGTCAGACTTTTTTTATAACAGAGTATTTGGTTCCCAAAACGCCTGTTTTGTGGAATTCTGTCTCTCTGGTTTGGAGCTGGCTACTTGCCACTACAGTTTATCTGTATATATGGTTGAGTTGTAATAATAATAATAATAATAATACCTTTTGAGCAGTTCCCTACTGCATGTTGTGGAAGGCAGAAGAGGATCTGCCCTTTCATCGGAGCAAAGGAGGGGAAAAATGTCTGAAGAGAAACATACCATTATGCTACGGGGAACTGACCCTTCTGTGGAGAACTGCAAGGGTGGTGTTTCTCTCTCGTTCAACAAAAAGAAAAAAAGGAGGGGAAAAAAAAAGAAATAATTAGGTTTTACAACCCAGAAGACTTTCTGGTCCTGCCATGGGAATGCACAAGCTCAGTGTTTTCAGTATCGATGCTTACAGCTGTGACTAAAGACATTCCAGTAAACCTATTTTTGACTGTACATGTGAAGTTCCTGTATGTCTTCATAGTGTTCTGGAGGACATTCACAGCACTCCACTGTCGGTAGTCCCTAGGAAAGGGCTGTTTCAGTGTTTTCTTAACCAAAAGCAAGAAGTGTGTGTAAAGCCTATTAGCCCAGTGATATAAAAGATGCAGCAGGAGGACAGCAAGTGCCCTGAAACCAGTCCAGGGTGAACAAGCCCATTTCCTATTTGGAGCCCTTCACCTTGATGTGGTGGTTACGGTCCCAAACAGCCCATTCTGCGTCCCTCTGACCTGGTGGGGTGGGCATTGTTCCCAGACAGATGCGCTGGGGTGCTTGGGGGAGGTATAGGGGCCCCTGTGCTGGACTAAGCAGGAGCTGAGCTCCTCCATCCATGGGTGGGACTACTGCATTTTGGCTGTCTCCAACCCTGGTCTTTGGTGTCAGTGGTGTTTCTGTCTGTCCTTTTTGGGACCTTCGTTCCTCCCAGCCCTGAGTTTGGGACTTTGGCTGAGCTGAGATCAGACTTTCCTGGTTCTCTTTTTGCTGTCTCTTTTCTGATGAGAGCAGCATTGTCCTGCTTAGCGTGTGTCTGAAGTAATGTTGGAGAGGGGAAACTGTGCCCCAGAGAATTCAGTGCCATGTCCCAGCTTCCTCTTCTGAACCTGCCCTCTGTACCTTGTACAGTTTCCACCTGAGTGGTGGTGCTGCTCCATGCAGAGAGGGGGATTAAAAGTGAGCACAGCAGGCTGGAGAATAGATGTGATTACAAGCTCTGCTTGCCCAGCTGGAATATAAATAGAGCTTTTCCCCTCTGTGGTCCTTGGTCTCTCCAGGTGGGAATTGGAAAGCCAAGCTGGGTTTTTCCTCTTGAAGGGCAGTCTGGTTTTAAGATGATGCACCCAGCAGAAGGGACAAAAATCATCCTGCCTATGCCTTTGGCTACTCTCCACCTGCAAGGGATCAAGTGGGTGGATGAAGAGGGACTGTGTCTGTCTTCAGGGGGGCTGTAGGTCTCTCTGAGCTATTGCGTGCCTTTTCCTGCCAGCTGAAAAGTGAGTTAACAGTGCTGTGAGCCTGTGTAATGGCTGTGCTGTGCCTGCTCTGGCCTGCTTGTTAGGGCAGGCTTTAATCCTGCTGCTGGAGAGTCCTGCCAGTACCTCTGGCTTTCTCTCCCAGAGCCATCTTGCCTTTGCTGCTGCCACCCACAGAAGGACCTTGATGCCGCAGCAGCGTGTCAGGACTTCAAAGCTCTGCTGGCACCAGGTCTGAGAAAGAGAAGTTAGTTTTGCAGTTGCTTGAGAGAGGCAAAGCCTGGCTTTAAAGCTGGGCTGAGGGCCTTGGAAAATGGGTGCTGGTAGGAAGGCTTCATGGCAACCCTGCTGTATTAAAGAATTGCTTAGAGCTGCTGAAGTTGGGAGCTGCTGCTACACCCTCCTGGAGCCCTGTCCTTGCAGGGTTTGGCAGATCTGTCAGCAGCATGTCCTTAGGGAGAGTGTCCAGGAAGTGTTGAACTCTCCTCCGTGCAGGCACCGGCATACCACCCCAAGAAGTGCTGCTGTTATCACCATGCCAGCAGTGTGCTGCTTTGGACAGGCACAAATGCTTTTCCAGCTGACCCAGATCCATGGAAAATGTGAGGGGGCAAGGTTAGCACCCCTGACCCTGGACCATTTGTGTCTTGTGCCTGCTTCAGACTCATCCTTTGGTACCAAAGGGACTGGACCAGGCCCACCCCAGGCGGTTGAGCACAGGCAGCAGGTTCTCACCCTGGAAAAGCTGGCTTTCATTGACAGCGCTGCCAGAGTGCTTTTGCAGCATCTCCCAGGAGATTGGGGTGCAAATGTTTGTACTTGAGATGCGGGGCAGGGAAAGCTGCCATGGCCAAAGCCTTCAGCATACTTCCTGGGGTTGCTGGGATTAGGTGTTGATCAGTTTTATGTTCAAGTTGCTGAATGCTGGGGTCATTCTGAGCACAGACCTTCTCAAGGGACCAGCTCTGGCTCTGAGAGGCACTAGCAGCAGCAAATCAACAGTCCTGGTCAGTAACTTCACAGTAATACTATTTATTTAGGAAGTTTTTATAGATATATTTTTTTTTTTTAAAGCTGAAAAGACCACTAAAATGTCTGGTCTCAGGTATGGTATGGAGCAGTCCTCCATATGTTCCTTTGAGATACCGTGGTCTTTATATTGCAGCCTGTGCCGTCCCACCCTGGATTGGTGGCAGGAAGGACTGTAGTGAGTGGAAAGGGTTGTTGTTTCCAGCAGTGTCTGCATGCTTTGGGGTTGGTTTTCGCTTAGGGGATGTTATGAAGATTTTACAACAAAAACAATTCCTTCACCCAAGCGTAGGGTCTGTTTTATCCATTCCCTCTTTGTGCAAGACAGACCTCTTCATTAGCTGCTGTTTTCCACGATTGCTTTTTTACAGGGAACGGCATGTTTTGGCTGGAGTTGTGCGTTCCTCGTGCAGGGCTGGTTATTCCTCCCAGGCTTGCTAGTGTGACCCATGGGGAGACCCTGAGGTCCCCACACTAAAGGGCACAGGGGCTGTGAGGATGTATGTCTGCAGCTCTGACACAGATGGGGAGAGGCTTCCCCATTCCCAGCTCTTGGGGCTGGACGCACCAGAGGAGAAGTTCCTCCTAGGCAGTCCCCTTGCAAAACAGGAGCTTCTGGGAGGGCTGGGTCTGGGGTAGAGGACTGAGTACTGTGGTGGGAGAGCTACCAGGACCCTGCTGCTTTGCAGGGCACTGCTCCCCACTACCCTTTGGCTGGGGAGCACTGGGCTTCAGTGACTCATTCCTCTAGGGCTCCACACGGGGAGGACGTACCACCTCTTGGCTCCAGAGTCCAGCTCTCCCCACCAATGTTTTTGCTACAGCCGCCAGCTGGTCCTGCATCTACCTTCAAACAGATGAAACTCGATCGCTCCCACGTAGGAAATCTGGTGTCGGAAAATGTAGGCTTGCCAGAGGTCGGCGAGTAAATAGCAGCAGCGCTTGGAGCACAATCCGCTACCCCATTCCCCTGACTACATGTGATTCTACTTCAGGGAAAATAGGGAGAGGGATCCTGCGGCTGCCAAAGGC